TGGCCAGCCTGTTCTGCAGTAGGATCCTCACTCTATTGTGTTCCCTATTCAGCTCAACAAAGTGGAACCCAGAATGATACATGTTGGAAAGCATCCAACTGCAGACCACAACTATACACCATGCCCATTCCAGTGACCAGAAGCTTGGAAATACTTTTTTGGACTATAACTCAAGAATCCCCAATCAGCATGGCCAAGATAATATATTATCCATATACACTTCCCATTTATGGTAGACACTGAATGAAGTTTTTCAATCTACCACTTCTATTTTACACTGTAACATACACTGTAATTTACAATGATAGGTAAATACATTTTCTGAGGCTAAAAATCTCAAGTAAGTGCTGAGTGCTTTCAAAGCTAAGGCATATATGATATATATGGCATATATGATTGTTAGGTCATGGACTCAACATTCCTGTTGCATTTTTAGCAACAGCAGAGAGAAGTTATTTCATCCTGCTTAGAGACCAGAACAGATGCTGGCCAAATTGGCTGAGACATTCTGGAAGCTGGAGTGCAAAAAAATAACTTCTCTCATCTCTGGAAACCAGTAACAGGGTGCAGGCTCAAAACCTGGAACAATATTTTTAGAAACAATTCATTGAGTGATTTATTATTTGGAGGGCTCCATCCCTCAAATAATTATTCCACTATATATTTGGCACACTAGAAAAATACAAGGAAACACTCTGTAGTTCTAATAGAGGACCAGTCACAGTCTCTGACCTTACCTCCCTCACAGGGCTGTTGTAAGGATAAAATTGGGGGTGGGGGGCGGGAGACTTGTATGGCACCCTGAGTTCACTGGAGGTAAGTTTGGATAGAAACACATCTGTTAACCATTTTTTTAAAATCACTGTTCGAAGCATATGTACAAAAGATGAAAGAAAATAATCATTTCCTTTCTACTAGGAATGTATCCTTCTTCTCTTTTTCTCTCTGGGACTCCAACGTACACAGTTCATAAGCACAGACACATCCGCATTCCACTCACCTGGATCATGGCTGAGCTGAACCTCCGTGGTCAAGCTCCAGTCTTGCTTCCTTTTAGTAATGTGCAAAATAGAAAGCTACCACTTTCTAAACTACTACATGTATGCTACTTTATACTACAAGTCCTTGAGAGATAAGATAACCCAGTTATTCAGCTCTGGGGATTCTGTGGAAAAATTTTGTGTTTCTTTCTCTGTTTGTTTTGATAAGATACCTACAGCTTCCAGATTTTCCGAGTTAGTATGGATGGTCAAAAGATATGCTACCCAGTTATTTAAGGTGGGGCATCAGTACGCAAGATATTGTATTTCCAGCTCTTACCAGTTGACTAAGAGAAACAGGAGGATTGTTGTTTTTCAAGATCCTTGAAATGGGAGGATAGAAGCAGGAGTTTTTGTACAGATCCTACAGATGTCCCAGCTTAAATAATTGGATAGGTTATCTCACTGCACGGTTTGTTGGCTGCAATATTTTGGGAGTTATGATCTTTAAAAAAATTAGTTTGGGAATTCCTGGAACTATAATATTTTTTATATTTATTTTTTATTTATTTGATTTATACCCCGCCCATCTGGCCTTCCGACCACTCTGTATTGCAACTATCTTTTTTTCTGTGTAGCAAGTTGTGTGGGGGAGGTGGTTTTCATTTTTGTATCATTTTGCAATGGCAGCCAGTTCCACAACTAAGCAACAAAATTTATCCACAAGCTTGATTCACAGATAATGTATTATCTGGTAATACAACCTCCAGAATCTGCCAGATGACTTTTTTTTGGATGACAACACCCACAATCCTTCAGCCAGCACAGCTACTAAAGAGTTAGGGTCTTGAGTAGCTATCTATAGCATCTGTGCAAAACTTCATGTTTCTGTCTTCGCATTTGAAAGATCTTGCAAGACAAATAAGCAAACCACCGTTCTGTTTTATTCAGAAGAGAAAGCTAATAATAAAATCCTTTAAGGACAGGTCTTCCTGGAAGCCTCAGTTTGGAAGCAGCTATCTCCCCATAATTTCCATTCTTGAACATGCCATCAAAAAAATACCGGCTGAAACCGAGTAGATGTCACAACTAGGGTAGTATCAGCACGGATTTGGTAAGTCAATACCTATGTTGAGTCAACCTTGAGCCGGCTACCTGGGATTTGAACCCCAGGTCGTGAGCACAGTTTTAGCTGCAGTACAGCGTTTTAACCACTGCGCCACGAGGCTCTCTTCCTGGAAGCCTCAGTCTGGAAGCAGCTATCTCCCCATAATTTCCATTCTTGAACATGCCATCAAAAAAATACCGGCTGAAACCGAGTAGATGTCACAACTAGGGTAGTATCAGCACGGATTTGGTAAGTCAATACCTATGTAAGTTCAATGGGCCTACTCTACTTGTGATTTCCTACTGAATTGCAGCCCACTGTGAATATGGTCAATCAATTTTTCCTCAGTCTTTCCTGTCACAACTTTTTGTTTCTTATGCTACTATGAATGCAGATTTGTTGTCTTATTAAGGTCACAAAGGAATCAGGATGTGATATCACAAGGACCTGCGAGGATCCTTAATACTGTACTCTTGAACATGCCCTGGAAGGCAGCCCATCTAGGAGAAGGAAAACTCTGACTTCAAACCTCCACTGCCTTGTGCTATATCCACTGATGGAAAAGGCTTCAGGAGTTAACCTCAAGGCAAAATCTGGAGCCGGAGTCCTAGAAGCAGTTTGTGTCACTCTGTCAATTCCTGCGACATCGCTGAAACCAGTTGTATTGGCTCTTGCCTTTCCATTGGACTATTTCATTGACGTGGAGAGGGGGGATTTGCTGGTTGGGTAACAGCCTATCCTCCATATTATTTTACCCAGGCTTCGTGCCCTGGAGAGGACACTCCAACTTCGCGTACAGCGTCAAAACACTAGACGCTGTTCCAAGTCCTCCATTAACATCTAAAATGTCAGACAAAGTTTGTCTTGCTCCTGCACTCCCAACTCTCAACAATGCCCTACCTGTAATCCTAGTCTAAGCTCAAAGAGCATAAGCCTTCATTCAGTCATGGTTTGCACAACTTTAACTCCCTTTGCTTGGCTTAACCTTCTCTGGTTTCTCTCTGGACGTTTGCGTTACCTTCACCCAATATTCATCCTTAGAGTAACAAACAAGCTTTTATAACAGGTTGCCCGGCTTCTATCTCAACCTCCAATGTTAGTTTTATACATGTAAATGCAGACGATATCAAGTTTCCTGTAAGAATGAAAGCTTCCACAGTTTATATGCCACTAACTTGTGCATGAAATCTTTGATGTAAATACCGTAGGTGAAGAGATATCCCTCGAAAGCCTATCTCATTTTCCCCAAGTTGTAAGGAGAAAACAAAACAAAATCACAAGGACATTTCTCTCTATCTAGCACATTGTTTGTGTGGGCAAAATGTTGTTCTTTTTATTGCAAGGATATCAGTTTGCAATGACAGACAGTTCCACAACTGAGTAACAAGATGCATCATGATTCACAGATAATGGATTCCTGTAATGTTCTTTTCTTCTGCATTAATATAATTACAAGCTATTTCCAGCTATATTTATTTCACTTGATTCAGACATTCTACTTTTTTTTTAAAAAAAGGTGATGAGTACTTTTGAATACACAAAAGCTAGAATGAAGTTAACACTGCAAATTATGTCTGCATTATGATTTCTCTAATGAGACAAGAGTCCTTTCAAATCAAGCCATTTTTACATCAGTTTGTAATTTTACAAGTGCTTTTCTATAGTGCTTTCTATTAATTGAAGCATTTGCTACCTGAATGAAAGAAATCATGTAATTATATACCATGATATTGGTTTTGATAAATTTGTGCCAGTACTAAATATTAATATTTTGTTCTCTATTCCAAGACTGTGAGGAGGTAGGTATTTAATTTACTTTCCCTTGGTTTCAACTTATCTTTTCAAGGTTTTTTTTAATGAGTATTTTATTAAAGATGAAGACAATATATTGTCATTATTTTTTTCTTTGTTTTTAAAAAGAAAGGAGAATAAATTATCTCGCATTAAAAAAGATGTTCAGTGCCAGCATTACATTTTCTTCCCATCTGTTTCCAAACGGAATCATGATTATGATGCAAATAAAATGCCACATTGTATATTTCACTGACATTAAGGGAATTATGATTTTTTGACAGTACTCCTCATTTCACTGTTCTCTTCCTGAATAGTTCTTATGAAATATTAACCTTTCCTCCCAGGTTTGGCTTTTTTTAAAAAAAAATATCCTGGAACACACTGTCTGCTTTCTTATAGTCTTCAGACCCAGAATGAGACCTTTATTACTGGATAGTTCTCCAGTATCCCATTTCTGGCATAAGCAGAATTTTTTCTCTCACACATGTTCCCACACAATAAACTTCGAAAATATTTTGTATATTTTGTGTGAAACCTCTGAAATGCTCTTACCACTCAGTTTTGTATGTTTCAACCTCTTGGATAAACTAAATTTCCTAAGAGTTTCAGAGAGCTTAGTAGCTACATTTGTGAACCATAAAACCCCTGTTTCAAATTTCAGTTTGACATAAAACTCAGCAAATAGCCCATTATCTGCCTAATCTCACAACCTAGTGCCACAGCTCCATATGCGGTATGAGAGTCGTAATACAGCTCTTAGAATTGCTACATGAGACAAAATGGGTTTATCACATTCAGCACCTTAACATGCACTATAAATCCTCAAGGCCCAGCCACACTTGTCAGAAGAGAAGAACAGCTATGCTGAATGAGAGCAGCAATACGGCTGGAACCGCATGCAGAAGTGCTTGGGAGTAAACTCTAATGAACATGGCTGGACTACTTTTAAGCAAATGTGGTAGATATAGTCAAGCTGTACATTTTTTTCCAACACATAAAGCCTATCTTGCTCTAATAAAGGACTAGATTTTACTCAGTTAGAAGTAAGAGATTAGAAGGGAGCAAGGCATATGCATTTGTGTTTCAATTAAAAAAAGAATTCCAAACGGCATACTTACTATGTGTCTTGCTGCAAACACACCATCAACAATGGCACAACAGAAAGCTGCTACCACTCCAAAGCTGATAAACACGATGGAGGCTATCAGCTGAAAACAGAAAAACAGTACTCAGTCATGTATTCCATATCATTAAAGTTTATTAACTGTTAACCTAACAACTGGAGTGGTTCCTGCAGGTCCATAGTCATTAGTAAGTAGAATTTCTGGCAACTGCCACAAATAACACATAAGTCATTATATCTGTGTATCACCGAAGGTCTTCTATGTAAAACTGGTTGAATATGCCTGCCACTAGCTAAAAACATACCAAACAGATACAGATTACAAAACAATCCATATAATCCTCTAAATGGATAGTAATTAGACCGTTCATTCTGGTAAAAAGTTTACAAAGTTTCACTGGATATATTTTTCGTAGGTGGACCTAAAAAACTTGCTTTCAGACCAATGAATGATCTTCAGTAGATTCCTTAGGAAAACAGGAATAGAAAGGATTTGTTTCCATATATCTGTTATGGGATAAGAATATAAAACGCTTTGCAAATCGTAAGTCCTAAAACTGTTTCATACAGTCAGTTGAAGGCTAACTGATGCATGCAGCAGAATGAAGGGGAAATGGACACTCCTACTGTTAAAAATACAGACTGGTACCACATATATAACACAAATGAGCACTATATCAATCTGGTTGTAGATAGGCTACTACAACTTGTACAGTCTATCGCCTCTGCTTTGTGTGGTAGAAATTCTGTTGGAAGGAGAACCACAGTTGCTGTTTTTAAAGGATCCACAAATTGTAGTTACCAAGGGACGAGCCTTTGCTTTCACACATGATGGTCACTCCTGAAGTTCTATGAATTAAAGCAATTGTGTGGCGACTGCTTTGCGCAGCCAAGCTCTTCCAAATACAACCATCTCAGTAGCCTCTGTGTGATTTGTTATGTACTGTGTTCAAGACACATCCCTTACAGGAAGGCAAATTACTGTATATAGGACTAGAGAAACAAGGACTGCTAACACTGATTCCCAGTGTGGTGTATTGGATAGAGTGATGAACTGCGACTCTAGAGAACAGGGTTCAAATCCCCACTCAGCCATGGAAGCTCACTGGGGGGAAGTAAAACTGGTAAAACTGCTCCTTAAATATCTCACTTACCTTGAAAGACTTTGAGGGTCACTATAAGTTGGTTCTGACAGCCCTATGAGGGTCACTATAAGTTGGTTCAGACTTTATTTATTTACTTATTAAATGTATACCCCGCCCATCTAGACTGAGGTTTACTCTGGACTTGACAGCACAACATAGCCAAGGGTTGGGCTCCTTTCCCAGTCTTATTATGCCTTCTATATCTATTTATTTATTTAATACCCATTTTTCATACAATGAGCTCAAGTGGGCATAAAAGGTTCTCCTCCTTCCCCTTTTATCTTCATGACAACTCTGTGTGGTAGGATAGGCTAAGAAACTACAACTGGCTCAAGATTATCTGATGAACTTCATTGGTAGTGGTGATTTGAATCCAGGTCTCTCTAGTTCTAGCCCAACACTGTAACCTATGCATGGGCCATCTCAGTGAAACCAAGAGCCATCTTTCAGATTTTTCAGCAGCCCAAGTGCAGGATTAGATTAGAGTAGACATAGTCTAAATGGGCGGGGTATAAATTTAATATAAATAAATAAATATTCCCAATGTGGTAGACTAAAAGGGGAGAGGCAGGACCTAATTTACATATTTACTTATTCATTTCAATTAAGGTAGCGGTAAAGATTGCTATTAAGGCCTAAATCCCATTCGTATTCCCAGCCAGTGTACACCCATTGAATCAACTCTTACACAAGAGTCAACTCTTACGTAAATCCCATTGATTCAAGGGGTCTATACTAGTTAGGACTACCACTATGATCCTAGCCAGTGGGGCTTGCCAACAGAAAAATAAGTTTAACTTTTAACAATGTTTTCAAAAAACATATTTGTTAAAACCCCTTAGCACCCTCTTGTGGCAACCCCTGCTCTGGCTGCAACACTACACAGTTTCTTCATCTAAGAGGTTATATTGTATATGGAACATAACAAAGTTAGTTGTGGAGAATGTATGACTTATCTTCAGATTTTTTTTTTCTGAGCTTAAAGGCAGAGGAAAAGAAAGCAATTTTATGTATTTTTGTGGGGCCAAGCTGCCCCTGACCTATGGCAACCCGTGAATGAGTGACCTCCAATTACAAAAAAAAAAAACACCACAGAGCTCTTGCAAAGTCAAGCCCGCGGCTTCCTTTATGCACCTTGTATTTTCCCTATATTGCAAGGCTAATATATGGCAAAGCAGGATTTCTAAACAGGTTCAGTTCTGTACCCTCATCCTTAATGTGCTGCTGTACAAGGGCTCTTAATGTAGGGTAGAACTGTGACCAGGAAAACACATTTGCTGCTATAGCAACTAAACAGCAATATAGATTAATATCCTGGTAAAGGATATTCAAAGATATAGACTCATAACTTTCTGTCTAAGTTGCAACTATCAGTACAGACACCAGTATTGCCAGTTATCCTGGCAGGGTGCTGTCAGGAGAAGTCTCAGCAACTGTCCATTCATTTAACACGGACCTGTGTCCTGTCTCCAAGAAGCAAATTCTCCATGGCCCATCCCAAACATCCTGAAATGTGGGGTCCATCTCTACAATGAAAAACTGCAATACACAAGTTCATGCATGGGTGCTCACTCCTCAGCTATTAAGGCAGCTTATCGCTGCAGTAGGCAAGGATCCTCACAATTTATGCCCTGCCAGACTATCCTTTCCAAAGGTCAGTGCCTCAGTAATAACACTGTTGTAATTGAGACTTCACTGGGAGAACTGTCACATCAGAGGAGATATGATTTTGTCATGGGTACTTGGTGTTCATTATTCATTTATATCTATTTTAGCTACAGCACTGGCTACAATCACGATGGATTTCCAGTGGGAGGAAAAGGTAATTACTGAACCATACGATCAGTCACAGGGGAGGGGGTGCTATTGGTAAGATCTCTTAATCATTATTTCTTTGAAACGCTTGAGGAATTCTTCCCTTAAAAGAACACTGAAAAGGTCAGAGGGCCAATTCTGATAAATAAAGTCTAGTGTGGAAGGAAGGAAGGAAGGAAGGAAGGAAGGAAGGGCTCCCAACATTCGGGTTCTATCTAGCATCTCAGACCTCCTGTGCCACTAACACAGTCTTTGAACACTTGGAACTTTGGTCTCTAAAGCTGCTATCTTCTGCAATATCAGTCAGCTAAACCACAAGGGCCAGCTCCAGGGATTTGGCCCCTCAGACCAAGCAGAGCCAATGTGGTATAGTTGGGCTATAACTCAGGAGCTAGGATCAGATTTTTACTCAGCCATGAAACTCACTGAGTGATCTTGGGCCTGTCAGTGTGTCAGCTTGACAAAGCCTTGTGAGGATAAAGTGAGGGGAGAAAAGTCACATATGCCTCTTTGAACTTGCTAAGCAAAAAAAGCAAGCAAACAAACAAATGGCAAGAGCTCTGTTAAGTATCCAGTTCCATTCCCCCCCCTTCAATTGCTACCACAGACTGGCCCTGGCCCCTTGAATCCTAATCTGCATTTTCAGAATTCAGTTTATATTCCCACCTTTGTTCTCTGAGCAGCAAAGTGGCAGGTGCCCCCCATCTTGCTTTTTCTTTTTCACTTTTTAGTGATAGTATGGTCACAGGAGTATGGTGTCCTTCCTCTTATTCCCACTGAAGGAAAGCACTCTGGAAGTAGCCAGCCATCTTGGGCTGGTGCCCTGTGAATACCATCCAATCTGCCTTTCTTTGATGCAACACCATACAGTTCTAAACCTTGTGGTATCACTGATTTATTTGAATTGCTCTTCCAGAAAAAAAAATATCGAATCAACATGCACATGTGAAATGGCTTTATTCCAGAACAGATCAATGGCTTACCAGCCCTCACACTAAAAGCTGCTCTCTGGAGTCTCATGCAAAGATTAGTTTTTCATAAAGAGAAGGAGGAAAATCAATTTACAAAGCACAAAGAACAACTGGGATCAAATCCATGAAAACCTAGCTCTATAGAAAATATTAGACATATTCAAGTGTAGTAACCTGTTGTTTCTTGGATCAGGTTTAAAGTTTTGATGCCCACCTATAAAACCCTCCATGGTTTGGGACTCCATTACCTGTTGGAGTATCTTTTTCCAAAGTCGTTTTCCTGCAGCAACAGATTCCCCCCAGGCAATGATCCCCTGGGTGGCCACTTCAAAGGAGAGCAAAAAGTCATCATCAAGAAGTCCTGCTTTCTCAGCGGTAGCATAGATTCTTTGGAATCAGCTCACGGTTGAGCTGCAACTGACCCCCCCTCCCTCCCCATTTTTAAGAGGTCGCTGAAGCAGCTTCTCTTTCCAGAGGCTTTCAAAGCCAGACTCACTTGAATTTTCACCTCTCGCCCTCCCAAAGCGTACCTAAAGTACTTAGAGATGTGAGACTGGGAATAAGAATAGGTGTTCGTTTGCAAACCTAATACCAAAAGGCAAGGTAGCTTTAAAAAAATGTGGAACACGTTTCAAAATGCAAGACAGTTGAGAAGTACAAATGAGGGCAGATGTTTTAGTGGCCGAACACTTGAGACCTACGTCGAGAAAGCACTGTGCTTCTGGTCAAGAATTCTGCCAAGTGACAGCTTTGTGGACTACTGTGTAGGAGGAAGGAGCAGGAGAAGAAGCGGTTGGCTTTTTAGAACAGATGGTGCCAGGCCAAAGGACAGGAGGCGTTCAGAACAGTTGCTGCAATGCAAGGATGCACAAAGACAGAGCCCCCACCCCCAAAAAGGCAGGAAAAGCACCTTCAGAGAGACTCAGCTCGGGCAGAGAACCTTTTTATTGTGTCAAAGGGCCACACTCTCTTGGGTGTAATGGGTCAGGGACGGCATATGAATGATGGGTGGTCCCTTAACCACAGATACTGTACAGTTTAAAGTAATGGCACATTTGGCACTCTATTTACTCTGATGATGTTACCAGTTGGGGCCAAAATAAATCCTGTAAGTACGGATGCCAATGGACAAAGAGCAACTTCTAAAATTGAAG